CTATCATTATTGTTGTTATTGTTATTATCATAAACATTATGATTATTACTATCATCATTATCACTGTTATTATTATGACTTTTATTGTTGTTTTTATTGTTATCATTATCATTATCATTATCCTCACTTGCCAGACGTTTTTCTTCGCCGTAATTAGATGCCATTCAATTTTCGTCGTGAATTTTCATTGGATTCCTGAGCCTCGCGAGGGAGGGAAGCGGGCGCCATTTTGGTGTGATTCTTCGCGTGAGTCTTTCTCTTGCGTCGCTGACCCTTTTGACCTGGCGGAGGTATGCGCTCTGTGAATGCTAGCCCGTTTTGTTACTTATATTATTAACATTATCATTGCCCTCATTTATATCATTATAACGTTTTTTTTTACCATTACGATTGACGTTACTAGCATTGATATTGTATTTTTCATAATTATTAACGTTGTTATTGTTATTATCATTATTACTGTTGTTAATGATGATCATCATGTTTTTTTTTTTTTGTTTTTTTTGCTATTGTTATTATTATCATCATTGGTATTGTTAGTATCATTATTATTATTGGTATTGTCATTAATGTTATTATCATTTTCATTCACTATTATTATTACTATTACCCTTGTTATTATTTCTTTATATTATCATTATCATATCTTAATGGTTATTGTTATTATCATTATCATTATCATTATGTTATTATCATTACTGTTATCATCATTATCCTATCTGGCGGTCTTTATCATTATGATAAACCTGGAGAAGTCATGCATAATGTGTAACAGTGTAGTGAAAGCTTTTAATGAAATGTTTGAAAAAGGGTTTTGTACTTTAAACCAATAATAACACACAGAAATAGATAGACATATATTTATTCAATTTTCTGCTGAAGAATGAAAAACTGTTCATTGCTGTAAAAAAAAAAAAAAAGAATACATACAAAACATATTCTTTATTTTCTCCGATTACTACATACCTCACTTCATAACCATATTTGCACTATTCATTGCAAACAAGAATTTTGGCACAAAAATTTAAAAGTGATTTTGATGTACATTTCGAATCATTTTCTTCCAGTTTCGTTCTTGTTCACAAGCAGGCGGAGCAGCTTGAACATTCGGACCAGATCCTTAAACGATCCCATAAACATTTCTGTTATGTTTTCAAACATTTTATCCTTATTATGAAGAAAGGTACTTTTCTAAAGTTCTTTTTTTACCTAAAGGCTTATTTTTACTCAGGGCAAGATGTCTGTGTTCTGTTGTCACTGCGGACTGTGATGCTCCTTTTGCCCGGCATTCATCCGACGTCATTGCCGACCGCTGCGTCGTGAATGTGTCAAGTCCTGTTGGTCAAGCTAAAACTATTCTTTATGTAAAAAAAAACATGAAATACTAATGATAAAATCTCGCATTTAAGATTTGTATACAGTATTCTGAATTTACATAACCATTTTTCTTATAAAATATCGAGGGAAATCACCTTTTTTCACGAACGAAACCACGAATCCGTGAAATCCCTTGGCCCCGCACTGTCCTTTCCCGCCACGATTGCTTCAGGAGAACCTGCTCGCCGCGCCTCGTCAGCAGGAGGCTTCGCCGTTCGACTGATTTCGCAGTCGCTGGTTCTGAAAGCCATTGATCTGCTCGAGACTTCGGTCCCGCGTCTCGGGGAGGGCGAGCCCGCCCACCGTCGCCACGAGGACGGCGAAGGCGCTGTACGCCCAGAAGGTTCCATGGTGGCCGAGCACCAAGGTGGCGCCGGGGTAGGACTGGGACGCGCAAAAGGCGCCGATGAAGAACACGGAGTAGAGGAAGGCGACCGCCGTGGCGCGGACGGAGGTGGGCAGAATTTCGCTCCGGAAGAGGCTCAGGACAGGGAAGGCCGTGCTGGCCGCCAGCGTGAAGGCGGTGACGGAGGCCAAGGGGAGCCAGCGCTGGTGGCTCACGTCGTCGGAGTTCTCGTGGTCGTAGAAGAAGGAGCCGAGAAGAGCCATTGACGCGGCGCAGACGAGCGTCGAAGACACCAGCAGGACCTTGCGGTCGGCGCGGTCCACCACGGCCAGGTAGAACAGCGTCCCGACGACTCGCACGCAGCCGACGATGACGGCGGCCGCGTAGGGGCTGGCCACCACCTCCGCCGCCTCGAAGATCGGAACCACGTAGGCGCTGACGACGAAGTTCCCGGTGAAGTTGGAGATGAAGAGCAGGAAGGCGAGCAGCACAATCCTGCCGAGGATTTCAGGATTCTTCATCACCTGCAGCTGACTCCTCGGGCTGCAACGCCCTTCCTCCCGGGTCTGGGCGATGTCCGTCATCTCTTGGTCGCAGTCGTAGTGGCGGCCGCGGAAGAACTTGAGGGCGACCCGCGCCTCGCCGAGCCGCCCCTGCGCGGCCAGCCAGCGAGGGGAGTTCGGAAGGCAGAGGAGGCCTAGCAGGGGCAGCAGGTGCGTCACCACGCCGCACACGCGCGCCACCTGCCGCCAGCTGAGGGAGGTGCTGCCCGTGGCG